TATATATATATATATACAGACTGTTTTTTTTATACATTTGTTTAAAAAGAAACGTGAAACCTACACTAATGCGGTTTGTGCAGGTGGGTTATGCGGCCAGGCGGAGATTATGGGGGTGGCTAATTTTTGCGATAAGTCGGCTAATTCATTCACATTTGTTAATTCACTTTTAATTAGTGAAAATAGACACATAGTTCCAATCAGAAACTTGCTGAACATCATCGAAAACCACTAAGTCAACTTTTTTTAAAAGGATATCACGCCGCGGCTGCATTTTATGGCATTCTGTCAAAACGCTCCATTTGGACGCGTTTCTAGATTTCAGTTTCTTATCGGAGCGCATCTTTGCAACCCCGGTCCTGCTCCCCGGGGATCGCGGCGCCAAGCCACCCCCTCGCCTCCCTTGCGTGGTGCTGCTTTGCCTGTCGTGTGTATATATAAGTTTACTTTTCCTGAATAAAACTAGTTGAAAGTTAGCGCCTGTCCTGTATACTTCTTGTCCTTGTCTTTTTTGCGCTATTTCATGTTTTACCAAGAATGGAGGGAAGTAGGGCGCACGTGTGTTGCGCGTCTCAGCCACTGGGGAGCAGGACCGCGGGCGCGGTTGATGCGCTTCAATAAGAAACCGAAATCTAGAAACACGTCCAAATGGAGCGTTTTTACAGAACACCGTAAAATGCTACTCCGGCGTTATGTCCTTCCAAAAGTAGTTGATTTAGTGGTTTTCGATGATGCTCTGCAAGTTTCATATTGAAACCATTGGCCTATTTTCAGTAATTCAAAAAGTTAATGAACGAATTTTGAGTAATTAGCAGACTTATCGCAAAGTTTAGGCACCCACATAATGTCCGCCTGGCCGTATAACCCACCTGCACAAACCGCAATAGTGTAACTTTCACGGTTTTCAAACAAATCTGTAAGAATAACAAAAAGACTGTATGTACATCTGTGTGTGTATGTGCTTGTGTGTGTCTGTGTGTGTGTGTGTGTTGACGCATTTTATTCAACTGCGGAAGCACATTTTACCTCCCTGAACACTCTAACCAATGCAAAGTGATTGATTATTATTATTGTTATTATTAATATGATTATTATTCATAGTATAGGATCATTATCTAAACATGCCAGCGGGAATTCCTGCTCTTCTTTCTGAAAATCTATAATAGACACTGATTAATTGATTTTTATTTTTGTTTTTCATGATTTGTGACAGATGCCAATCGGCCACTCCCGCAAATTTTGAGAACATCCGGTGTCTTTGTGAGTATTACACTTCGAACGTATTTCCAGCAACCCTACACTGTGGTTTTCCCCAGAAAGGCATCAGTTCGATTACCAGCTCGAAAAGTTTAAAAACCCACCTTCCTGTTTAGCTAGCAAATTCACTCGCTCAGCTGAGAGAATGTTCAGTTCAGTCACCATAATGGCGAACTAATATTTTTCAGTTTGTCCAGTTTTTATTATTATGAATATATATATATATATATATATATATATATATATATATATATATATTTTCTTTTTTTTTTTTTTTTTTTTTTTGCTTTTGAGCTATTTTGGCAGTTTCGCCGTCAGTTTTGCGAGTTACCTTTCTTAGTGTGTACATTTTGTTTTCGATTTTTACAAGTTCTATCAATTTGACTTCCAATTTGATCATTAAATAACAGCATGCAACATTAAAATTGTGCTATAACCAGTTAGAAGTTTTTCGATAGGGTATGCCGATGATTTTCAAAAGATTTCCAGCATGGTATATGTTAAAGAGATTGTCCGGTGATATTCAGAACTTACTAAGTTTTGGCGCTGTTCACGGAGAGGACGCCTCAATGCGGTAAGATATGGTATTTATATAACTAAAATAACCCACAATATTCGTTGCATAAATATGAACATCAAAACTAACCTTCACGCCAATTTTCGCAAGCATGCATAGCTGGTCGTGTCGTGACGTACTGTCAGAGATGGTAACGTCTGGGTCGTGGACGTTGACTTATTTCCTGTTTTGATCAACGTGGGTGCTGGTGCGTACAAAAATCATAGCCGAAGAATTAAGCCCCCCTCAATGCCGTAAATTTTGCATTTCTTGGAACGAAATCATATAATAGAGACATCAGCCAAGAGCTGTCGTGGCCTAAAGTCACTGGATCCTGGGAAAGTAGCGCCATTGCCTTCACACCTGCTAGCCGGACACAAACAGATACCAACATACAGACGACAACACCTCTCAAGGTGATTGGCTCACCGCTCTCGGTTGCCATGGCGATCGCCACTTAATTTGGACCCCTTTAAAGCTTCGAAGCTTCAAAAGGGTCGTCAAAACCAGTCGCACCAAGATCGCTGTGGAGCATCATCGCACTCAAAGCGTTCTTCGACCAAAGTGAGCGTCTTTGTCATTGTGCATGCAATGAACTCACCACTCATGCTTATTTCCCCAGATCTCTTATAATTATGTTGCGTGTTTCAAGACGCTAAAATTATTTTTTTAAAGCCTCCAAGCACTGACGTGGCGTGTGAAGGCGGTAGAAAGATGTACGTCATCACACGCGGCGTTGGTGCTTAGGCACATTAAAAAAAAAATTTACTGTCTTGAAACACGAAAGAAGAACAACACAATTATAAGAGATCAGGGAAAATAAGCATGAGTGATAAGTTCATTGATTGCACAGTGCCAGAGACACTCATATTGACCGAGGAACGCTTTCAGTATGATGGTGCTCCATGGCGATTTTGGTGCGACTGGTTTTAATGACCCTTACGAAGCTTCAAAACTTTGAAAGGGTCCCAAATGGCGAACACCATGGCAACTAACGACGACGAGGCAATCACGGTTTTGTCGGCTGTATGTTGCTATTTGTTTGTGTCCGGCTAGTACGTGGGAAGGCAATGGCGCTACTTTTCAATATCCAGTGCCTTTATCGTGGCCCTCTTTGCACGATGTTACGTCTGAGCTTCCGCTGCTGCCAACGAAAACGCTGTGTGCTTTACGTGTGCAATGTCAGCCATTGAATTCTGTTTAAAATTAAATTACTTGTGCGGCGGAAGATTAAAATTTTGATATTGTGAAGATGATATTCCTAAAAGGGGCAACGACAATATAATTTAATTGCTTTGAGAAAGACAAACTTTTACCGGTCAATCCCTTTAATAGAAGACTGTATAGCAGACGATTTAAAAATAATGCAATTTCCAATAGAAAACTTTTGCGATTGAAGTGAAGAGCTCCGAATTGCTGTTTTAAGTAGAGGAGACACCCGCACATAATGCCCAAGTCCTTGACGAAGTGGTAAACTTAAAAAAAAAGTGAAAGCCGTTTACAAATCCCTGTAACGCCGAATCGGAGCGCAGCTCTTGAGGAGGAGGAGTGAAGGGTACTGAGGGGAGGGTAGACCCCTCCTCCTCCCCTCATTCTTTAATATGCTCCGGGGGGGGGGCGGTCACGTGACCTCGGGGGGGGGGGGGGGGTGTCACGTGACCGGGGAGGGGGGTCACGTGACCTCGGGGGGTCACGTGACCTCAGAGGGGTCACGTAACCTCAGAGGGGTCACGTGACCTGGGGGTCACGTGGGGGTCACCTTGGGGTCACGTGACCTTGGGGGTCACGTGACCTTGGGGAGGAGACCACGTGACCTCGGGGGTCACGTGACTTGGGGGTCACGTGACCTTCAAAGGGTCACGTGGGGTCTTGGGGTTACGTGACCTTGAGATGACCTTGGGAGGGGTCACGTGACCTCGAGGGGTCACGTGACCTTGGGAGTCACGTGGGGTCACGTGACCTTGAGATGACCTTGGGAGGGGTCACGTGACCTGGAGGGGTCACGTGACCTTGGGGGTCACGTGACCTTGGGATGACCTTGGTTACGCCGACGGCGACGGCGACGCCGACGGCGACGGCGACGGCGACGGCGACGGCGACGGCGACGGCGACGCCGCTCAAGCCGGGAACGGGCCCCTAAGAGCTGCGCTCTAAAAACGTTTCCATCTATTCCGACATGTTTCACTGCAACATATCACATAGGGGGAACAGAGTCAAATCTTTGTTAAAAGAATGACTGTGAGGAGAGTTTATGTGGAACAAGATTTTAGTAAGTGGGAAAAAATTACGTGGAACGGGTGATTAGCCTGCTCCAAATTCAAGTGTTTAATGTAAAAAGCTAGTATAAAAACAAAAAAAAAAGTGTTCCATTTGAATTAATCCCATCGGCTGAAAATTTGCCTGGGCTCTGTCAAAGATGGTGCAACGCCAGTTAGCCTGATGCTGACATTAACTGGAATATAAGTTGCGCCACATTAAGAGTGTACCTACCATCAGCACACAACCCGGTGCTCCTCCCAGCGCGCGGTTTTTTTCGTGGAGGAGGGAGCGGGGCGGAGAGCTAGAAGAAGCTAAACTATAAATCAACTCTTTTGGATAAATATCTCAAAACTCGCTGCCTTTCCGCGAATTTTTACAAATTTGACGATGCCTGACTGGGCCAGGCAGTGCGGTCTATGTCCTCGATTTGGAATGTTGTCCCTGACCTTGACTCCGGCAGCGTGCCTGGCGTGGATTATCACAACTGGCGACGAGCGATAAAGAACGGTCGCTCACGTCTCACCTGTTAGTTCTGCATCAACTTCAGCAGCCATGCCTGTCATCGGGAAGGTGGAACCGTTCGACTCGGCTATGTCGGATTGGACCGAGTATCGCGAACGGGTAGAATCTTACTTCGCCGTGAACGACATGGCTGCAACGAAGAGGACTGCCGTGTTTCTGACGTGCTGCGGGTCAGAAACTTATTCACTGCTGCGGAGCCTGCTCGCCACCTACGAAACCTGCCGATGCAACATTGGCTGCGATTTTCGAAGCTTTGAACAAGCACTACTCGCCGAGGGTATCGTAAGTGCTGGCCAGCTTCAAGTTTTCTTCTCGGCATTGGCGGGACGAAGAGCCTGTAAACGATTACATCGCATCGCTGAAGAAGCTTGCCGAAGACTGCAAGTTCGCATCGTTTCGGGAGCGCATGCTACGGGACCAATTCGTGCGCGGACTCAACGACGTCGCGATGCAGACTCGCCTGCTGGAAACGGCCGAGTTGGACTTTGAGACCGCGAGGAACACTGTAATCGCCATGGAGGCTGCCAAGAAAGATTCCCGTGCATTACGTTCTCAGCTGGCTCAAGCGACACCTGTGCAGGCCGGGGAGTCTGCGAATGTTGTCAAAACTAAGCCCACCAAACAGCAGGCAAGTGGTTCTTGCTTCCGCTGTGGGGGTAATCATCTGGCACACAAATGTCATCACGTAGGCAGCGTCTGTTTCAAGTGTGAGCAGAGAGGGCGTTTGGCACGGGTATGCCGATCCAATGCATGTCAAACGGAAAAGGCGGGACCCAGGAGTGAATCGAGACCTGTCCACAACGTGGATGACGAGCTGGCAGCGCCGGAATCCAAATCAGGAACGCAGGAGGCGTACGACCTTTGGGCGCTTCAAGCGGCCGGTCCAGAGCCAATGAGAGTCGAAGTTGCCGTCAACGGAGTGACATTGAACATGGAGTTGGATACCGGTGCCAGCGTGTCAACCATTAGCGAAAGGAAGTTTACGGAGCTGTTTCCTTCGGCGACGCTGGAGCCATCGGACGTCCAGTTAGGAAGTTTTTTTTGGCGACATTAAGCTTGTGGCGGGCAAGCTTGAGGCAACCGTGAAGCTGGGTGAGAACGAGCGCGTTCTGCCCTTGTTCGTCGTAAAGGGCCCGTGTCCTACGCTTTTCGGAAGAAGCTGGATGAGGGAATTCAAACTAGGAATCGTCAAGCCAGAAGTCGTCAACGCTGTGACGTCCGTGGAGGAAGCGGTGAGTCAGTTCCGTGAAGTATTTTCGGAAGGACTGGGTACCTTTGATGGCGTGGCCGCCCAGATTAACGTACAGGAGGGTGCTAAACCAAGATTTTTCAAGCCGCGAGTCGTCCTGTTCGCGTTACGAGACAGAGTTACTGAGGAGTTACAGAGGATGGAGCGCGAGGACGTCATTCGACCAGTGAAGACGTCCGAGTGGGCGCCGCCCATCGTTCCCGTAGTGAAGCGGGGTGGCCGTGTTCGCCTGTGTGGCGACTTCAAGATAACAGTCAACCCTGTGACGTTGCACGAGTCGTACCCGATCCCTCGCATCGAGGAGCTGTTCGCAAGGCTAACGGGGGGAGTCAAGTTTAAGAAGCTCGATCTGAAAGATGCATACCAGCAGGTCAAGTTGCACGAAGACACGCAAAAGTTTGTTTCCATTAACACCCCGAAGGGTTTGTATCAATTTACCAGACTTCCGTTTGGGGTGTCGTCAGCTCCAGCTTTCTTTTAACGCGCAATGAAGAACCTCCTACACGACCTTGATCATGTCACACTATACTTTGACGATATACTCGTGACCGGCACTAATGACAGCAACCATTGGGCAAATGTGTGCCAGGTCTTGTAGCGAAAGAAGAAAGCTGGACTGCGGCTGAAGCTGTCCAAACGCGAGTTCATGGCGGCCAAGGTAAGGTATCTCGGGCACATCATCAGCTCAGCTGGTCTTCAGCCAAATCCAACCAAGACAGAAGCCGTGCTGCAGGCACCAGTGCCTCGGAATGTGAAGGAACTGCAAAGCTACTTGGGCTTGATCAACTTTTATAGAAGGTTCATGCCAAATCTGTCGGATGTGTTGTATCCTTTGAACTGCTTGCCCGGGGCAGGAGCCCGCTCGTGTTGGACATTTGAAGAGCAAGCATTTCAGAGAAGTAAAAAGCTGCTGGCATCCGCTGGAGTCTTAGCACATTTCGACACTGCAAGGCCGACGGTGCTGATCACGGATGCCTCACCGTGTGGACTCGGAGCCGTCTTGGCACAGCGAGAAGCGTCGGGGGAGGAGCGTCCCATTGCTTTTGCATCTCGAAGCCTTACAGCTGCGGAAAAAAACTACAGCCAGCTGGACAAAGAAGCGTTGAGCCTCGTGTTCGCAGTAACGAAATTCAGGCAATACCTGGGGGCCGACTATTTGCAGCCATCACAGATCATAAGCCACTACAGGGCCTCCTCGCGTCGGACAAGCCTATTCCAGAGTCGTGCTCTCCAAGGGTGCTGCGATGGGCCGTGCTGTTGTCTGGGTACCGCTATAAACTGAGCTACCGGCCTGGTAGCCATATCAGACATGCGAACGGACTGAGTCGTCTGCCACTGCCAACAACAGATTTTCCCGTGGACTGCCCTGCTGAAGTCTTCATGCTGGCAGGGTTGTACCCACGTGTGCTGTCGTCAACAGCTGTCGCTGAGGCCACCGCCCGGGACCCAGTGGTTTCACGAGTGAGAGAGGCCTTGTGGTCTGGCCGCCAGTCGGATTTGAGACCAGAGGAAAAGCCGTACGAGACGTGGTTCACAGAAAATGAGTGTACAAGGCAACTGTGTGCTCTGGCGCAACCGCGTGTTGGTTCCTGCATCTCTCCAACGCGACATCCTGAGGCTTCTTCACGAAAGCCACCCAGGGATATCCAAGATGAAGGCTGTAACGCGGAGCCACGTGTGGTGGCCTAAAATAGACGATGACATTGTTGCGGCTGTGCAAGTGTCCCACCTGTCAGGAGCAGCAGCGAGCATCACGGCCAATACCCGTCATGCCATGGCCGTTCCCAGGCAGACCCTGGTCGAGACTTCATGTCGACTACGCAGGGCCTTACCGCAACACTTATTTTTTTATTGCAGTTGATACATTTTCCAAGTCAATTGAGGTTTTTCCTGTTTCAACTCCGTTTGCGGAGGCCACCATCACGTGTCTGCGAGCGATGTTTGCAAACCAGGGTTTGCCGGACATTCTGGTGTCAGAAAATGGTCCAGCGTTTGTGAGCGACACATACGCCACATTTTCAAATAAGAATGAAGTAAGACGAATACTGGTACCGCCGTACCACCCAGCGTCTAATGGCGCTGCAGAGCGTGCAGTTCAGACTGTAAAAAGGAAGTTGCAGAAGGCTGGACCGGGGGACCTTCGTACACAAGTTGCGCGCATGTTGATCACTTACAGATCGACGCCTCACGAGGTCACGGGCTCCAGCCCCGCCGAGTTACTGCTGGGGCAAAAAAATGAAGACTGCGATAGACCTGCTTCAAACTGACCTGTGGATCACGATGCAGCAGAAGCAGCTTCAGTAGAAAATCAGATTTGACAAAAGAACAAAACCTCGGATTCAAGCACAGCCTGGTGATCAAGTATTCGCCAAGAACTTTCGTCCAGGCTCTGCATGGATGTTGGCTGTGGTCAAAGCCCAGGGAACATATTTATCGGACCTCCAGCTGGCTGACGGGCGACAGTGGACGTGCCACCATGATCATATCCGGCAGGCGAACCGGTTGCCGCAAGTTGACCACAGTAGACAGGCTGGAACAGCTGCTGACATTGAGAAGGACGCTGACATTCCAGGCACTGTTTCTGACATGTCCGAAATGGCAGAGCTTGTTCTGGCACCTGACCTCTCCTGCACAAGCCTGAACTCACCTGCCCAGAGGTTCCAGCTGATGAACAACAGCAGCTAAGTGCTGCAGAAAGCACAGCGTCTCCTCATCAAACGACTATCACCACACCTCCCCGTCGGGGCACCAGGGTGCGTCGGCCTGTGCAGCGCTACTCTCCGTAATCACTTAAGTGATTTGATTTTACTAACCTTTTCTTATATCTCTTAGTTTCCACTAACTTTCATTATTAGGGGTGGGAGGGGTGTGATATCTTGCGGTGTACACACGAGGGCGCCACCGCGGTGGTAAATAAACAGACGAGGAAGACGATGCCTGACTGGGCCAGTGAGTTCGGTCTATGTCCTCGATTGGGAATGTTGTCCCTGGCCTTGACTCCGGCAGCGTGCCTGGCGTGGATTATCACAAATAGAGCTTTACAATGGCTCCATTTGAAGCTGCGATTTCCAATATTGCCCATTTCACCATTACATAAGAAGTAATTCCTTTTTTTTTTGCTTCATTAGTCAACATAGCGCTACCGCTGTCTACTAGTCTAATGTCCGTTCGGGCCCACAAAGGCACAGTGCCTGCATCCACATATCTATAACCTCACTTTTTAGTCTGTTCAGCTGAAAAAGAGGGACAGACTGTGTTTTCCGGGAATACTTGAGCACCCTTCCCACACCCTTCCCCCACCCTTCCAGCACCCTACAGAATTTAAGCATCCTTCGCGATAAAGAGTGGCTTTGCGCAATATATATTCCCTGTGCGACATTTTGACCAGAAGCCCGGGAAATAGTCTTACAAAATTCGATACTTGAAGTCATAAACGATGATTGGAGCATGTGAAACGTTTATGTCTTGATAAAATAAGATGAAGCTATAATCTAAGCTGAACCCACATGTCTTAATTCAGCAAATGAAGGGGCGAATTACTATCGTTCCATGAAGCGTCTTTTACTGCGCTCCTTTTATTTTTTATTTAATATTTGTCAGGTATTTGAGGCGTATCTGACATTACAGGACACGCTCATCCGTCGTCTATAGATGTAAAAAAGCAAGTCCCAAAACAAAGTAAAAAATATCAATTTTCATTGCGGACAGCGTATCCAAGGCTCGGGAAGTCGCAGTCTCAAATCGTCGTAACTATCGCCAACCTGTGCCCTTTCCGCACGAGGCAACAGAATGGCGGCCCCCACAAATCAGGAAACGGAGTGTCGGTACTCTAGGCGCAGCTTACTTTTGTGGTTCTGGTGTAGTCACTGACAAAGTGAGAAGTGCAGAGAAGAGCTTCAGTTGTCCCTCCTCCAGCGCGGGCTTTTAGCTTCCACAAGGCGTCGAGGTCTCGTGCGAATTGAGCGTGCGCGTGCAGACGGGAGAACAGCGGATGACATGGAGCGCGTGCTGGGAGCCGGGTGTTCGAAAGGCGCGCCCTGCGGTTCTTATTCGGTCAGTGACAACAGTAAATATATTAAGATCTTTGCAAACAGGCTCAACATAACGTCACTAAATGTTCGTATTTGTCAGGGATCGACCCCTAGGGCAAAACAGCTGTATGTGTTTTTTTTACTTTTTACTTTTACGTTCGCAATTAGTTTATTGGATGGCGTCGAATAAGGGTGACAAGCGTCTGACATTGGACACTAAGCCTCTCAGATAGTTTCCGTGTTGTATGCTAGGCAATGATAAACTGCCCTCCCCCGAGGGAGAGTTTAGCACGCGCCCTGGAGGCAACTGGTGGGCCGCTGAAACAAATTCTACTGCTCAGGGATTCGATCATACGTGGTAAAGAGGGCATTGCCTAATAGGTAGGTAAACATAATTTGAAAGTGACATTAACTTTTGCACTTTTATGGGTCTATTATAAAAGACGACCTAAGTACTTAAGGTTTCTGATTTCAAATTTTTAAACAAAGTAATATCAAAAGGTGAGATTTTGTGTTTTTCTTATACAGAAACCCTTATAAACAAATACCCCTCACTTTTTGAGTGCGTGGGAATTGAACAGATTTTGCATTTATCAAAGCAGAATAGAAAAATTGGCGTGAATTCTTCAAAAATGAGAACACAGGCATGAATAATTCCTGTGTAGATGATTTCTAGAAATAAATAAATAATGGTCCAAGTGCCTTTACACTTTCGTGTGACCATTGTCACAGCGACAGCAAATCGG